TGCACAGAAATGCATGCATTTAAATACAGAAATACAATATTTTATAACAAGTTATCTAGCTGACATTCTGAACTATGGTACTAAGAAACAAGACTCTCCTGTTCTAGGCCTCACACAGCTTCTTAACCAAAATACAATAATCTTAACTAGAAGCATTTGTTTTCTTACAGACTATACCTATAACACACTCCTTCAGACAATGAAAACACCTCTCTGACCCCAACATCTAAATTAAGCAGTGAAGGACTTGAACTAGAATGTTCTGCAGTGCAATCCAGTGCCCTAGTTCAGAATTGAGGGTATGAATGTCAAGTTCATACTTACCACCACTTATAACTCAGCTCTGCTTTTCAACAGACAAACCAATAAACTATCATTATAAAACAGTCAAAACAATTGATTTTCTCTTCCTCTCAAAATTTCATTAGAATTCCAAAGGAATATTTTTTGGATTTCTGCCAACTTGGAAACCTTTTAGCTCAGGTAATTGAAGAAAACAATTATTTTCACATTTCAGCATGCAAATGTCACACAACTTGCTATCCAATTTGGCAGTAAACACATCCATTTCCACTCACAGACTGTCAATACAGCAAATTCTGCTACCGAAGTTAAAATTCAGTGCATTCAATTGATGTATATGATTGCATTTAACCATCTTTCCAGCTCTCATGTAGTTTTGAACGGAAAACATGACAAGCCATAAGCATAACATCAGTGCAAGAGATTCTGCCTTAGTAGCTAAAGAGTACCTTAGCTTCTAGGCTACAAAAACCAGCTTGAGCTTGCTTTCTTTCATTTTGACCTCATAAAACCTGTGGTCCTACAGCATGACAAATCTAAAAGTTCCTAAAAGTAGGAAGTCCTCTCTATTGGATTTAGCAGCATTTACACAGTGAGAGCCTTGGTTCTACTTCAGTATCAACTTCCTTCAGCAGACAACAGAAATAATCATAATTTAATAATCTGAACACTAAACCATTTTGCTTCATCTCTCACATGACAGGTCTTAATCTTCATTACTTTATTCTTGTTCTGAGTCCACAAGCAACCGAGTGAGCATCTTCTGGAGAGCCATATGGCAATGTTCAGATGTAGCTCCACATTTTTACTGATTGTGAGGGTTGAAGCAAGCAGAAATCTACTCAGCACAATAGAACAACTGATATGAAGCTGATTGTATGACAAAGCTGCATAGCTGTTTCCAGAACTTCCACATTGATTAAAAAAAAAAAAAAACAAACAAAAAAAACCCCACACAAACAGTTTCAAACAACTTTTAGAAGACAGGTTCTATTTGTACTTACAGAAGCCACACCTTGTACCCCCTTCAAAGATGAATCCATTTGGGACAGCTCCATATCGACGCAGATCTGAGAGTTTCCATTGCCCCATAACACTAGGAGGAAGGTCTTTTGCAAGGACGAGAATGTCATTGCAGAAATGCAGCGTAGCAGGCCCACTCTCTAGTTTAGTGCCAGGTGCTACAAAAACTTGAAATCTATGAACTATCAAATAAGGAAGAAAAAAAGCATTACTGTAGAAAGCACAAGTAATGTACCGTAACTTACGTAAGTCATTCTGCACAGCTGTGGTGTGTAGACTGACCCTACCCACATCACAAGGCTAGGATAGGGATTCTAGGTAGGGCCCAGATAGCCCCATGTGAGTAGCTAATGTTTCAAGTTATTAGGTTGTAATGCTACAACTTAATGCTACATTAATCCTTCCGAACTCTTACAGAACAAACCCCATATCAAATTAGTCAGTTATCCAGCCTCCTTCCATATTTGCCTAAACACAGGGAGTTCTTTCTGTGTCCTCCTCCAAATAGCCTTTGCCCAGCCTTTCTGAATTGCATGCACACAGACACAACACAGCCCAACAAGGCCAGAAGTCAAGGATCAAAGAAACGGGCAAGTTCTAACAAGAGGTCTGTCACTGACTGTTACAGCCTTTAATAATCTGCTTCACTGTCTTCCACACATTGCCTTCCCTAACAGTAAAATGAGGAAAATTACAATTTCCCACCTTTGTGACTCTTGTGAGCTGATGAGGCTAGATGCCCTGATATATAAATTGAATTGGAAATTAGTGATTCATTGGTAATGTACATTCTTTAGATGTCAGTTAAGTCTTTGTATTTCTCAGCCTAAACTCCAGAAGAGCTTGGGAAAAGGGAAGACATCTCTCTCATTAAAGTTTATGAAGTTCTTGCAACCAGATACACACACACACACAAATCTGTCCTGGCACAGAGAAGCATAAGGACTATCACATTTTCAGAGGGATTGATCTTCAAGGAAACATTTATCAGGAAACATGTAAATTTACATTTCTTGTTATCCATTTAATATCATTTAAACAGCTTTCTGCCTATGATATCTACACAGTAACTTCCAGGTACTCTCATTTCTTATAATTATTCTTCCCTACCTCTTGCCCTTGCTCCTTCAAGCATCATTAATTTCAACCAAGTCTGAACCTTGTTTCTTGTTTAAACAGTTGCTATATTAGTTACCATCTTAGCTGTAAGTCAGCTCCTGTGACGTACATTTACAAAGTTTCCTACGGCTTCAGCAGAATTAGCCACAAAGTCATTTGAGGGAGATGTGTAAGGAGCCAGAGATAGATCTTTAAGCAATCACAGCTCTACTTACAGTAGTACTGCTAGGATGCAAGTCAATAGACACAATGTTCCCTTCAATTCAATTACTTTACACAACGTAACAATAATGTAAAATATGAAGGAGATGACAAAACTACCCTGACGAATAACATTCAGTAAGAAATATTTCATATCATTTGGACAATTCTGCACAGTTAACTTCAGAGGTACTTTGACATCAATTAAACTATAAGAAGCAGAAATATCAGCATCCTTCCTGTCTCATAAATGGAAGAAAAAAAAAAAAAAAAAAAAAAAAAAAAAAAAAAGAACACTTTAAAACAAGAGGTTACAAGTTACCATAGCTGCCAAAACCTAAGAGTTGCAACTCAGATTCCAAAATATTGTTAGGAAACAGCACACAAAACCAAAACAGAGGCAAATTCAGGTATGGACATGAAGGTTTTGCCATATTTTCCTTTCCCGGTAATGTGTGTGTGTGACTTCTCCTAAAATTCTCCCCATGCATCTACTGTTCTGGCTGGGAGGGGGGAGGAATAAATAAAAGGCAAAAATGGAAACAAAATCATCAACAAAAAGATACTTAACTGAATACAACCATGAGCAAGAAATATTGCTAAGGTTTTGAATTTCCTTTAGGTAATCTTTTTCTCTTCACAGCTGCTAACTGACCTGCACTATGCTAATTTCCTCAGAATAAGCTGTGGACTTGAGCACACTGTTCTCACAAATGGCCTACACCTCATTCACTTAATTCCACTGCTTTCTCTAATTCTCTAATCATGAATGGTTTATGCCCTTGAGCTGCCCTGGGAATTACACTCACCTGACTTCCAAACCAGAAAGAAAACACCAGGAACCTCGGTGAACTCCTTCCACTCTATGGTCCTCACTTAACAGCATCAACTTGTTTCACTCTTTTTTTTTTTTTCCTTTCTGCTTCCCAGACTCTGAGGTCATTTGCCCACGGCCTATTTTCAGCACCCAGCCATGTTACTTCCAAGGCACACAAAGGCATCCCTACTAGTTTTTAAGAAAGAAACACCAAACAGTCACCAATTCCTGTTTATATAGTAGCCTCCTCTTTATTCTTTCTATCGACTCAGGCTAGATTCTATTGTTCCTTTACACTTCATTTCTTCACCTGCACACTGCCCTCATCTGTCTCTGATCCAGAGCTACCTTCATCTCATAGACTCTATCCCTATCTTATTCATAACTTTAATAAATTGGTCACTTCCTTTGAATTTCCTCCTACCACAATCATAACTCTCACATTCAGATGAAGACCAAACATTCTCTTTATCCCAGCACTAAATCAATGCAAGATCATGAAAATCAGACCAACTCTGTCAAATTCAAATTCTCTTCCAGCTGTCATACATTTGTCCTAATTTGTCCTAAAGGACAAATCTATGCTGTAGAGAGATCCTAATGCTAGTAAAGAAACAGAAGTGGAACACAAAACAGCCACACTGTCAGAGCGTACTCACTACTCCCTCTATATCTGCCAATGTTGTTCAGGGATCCCCTCTAACCTTTGCCCTTGTGCAAGGCTGATAGCTGCAAGGAATAAATCTGTGTCTCCATTCCTATACCGCTACATTTTATAGTGTAAAATTCTCAGGCCATCTTTGCACGTATATACTGAAAAGTAATGAGTCCATAGCTACAACAGATGGCAAAGCATATGTAACAAATGATTATGATAGCTAATGTGTCTTCCACACACCTACCCTCCTTCCCTAGTTATAACTAAGCAGACATAAAAGCTACGATGGATTTTCAACATTATCACTCCTTCTTCATTGCTATATACTTTGCTAAACAAGAAAAAAAAAAAAAAAATGTATGAGTAGATAGCTGGAAAGACTTTATCTACTGCTATTGAGAGATGTCTCTTCTTGAAAGGGACACCAGCAACAATGTGAATTATCAAGGGCAACACCTGGTATGCTTATACACAGCTCATACAATTGGGATTGAACAAGTCACCTTCTAACCTGGGAACTACTTCTCTTAATTCAGGCTCTCTCTGAATCCTGTCATCCAAATCCTCAAGTAAATTGCATTACCAGAGGAACTAAGATCACTTTGCTTCATAGCTACACACTTTCAGTGGTTAAGTCAAAAACAAAGTAGAGAACTTTCCTTGTTAGTGACCAATATCCAGGCAACACTGTAATCACAGCCTACCAGAAGGGCCAGCTGCTTTAAGACATAGGGGAAGAGTAGTCTTTTCACTCATATGAGTGAGCCTTTTCCCTAACTTACTTTTTAATTTGCATTTTAGTTATGGCTTTCTTTAATTTTTTTCCTGTCAAGGAAAAAAAAATAGGAAAAAAAGGGAGTATGAGAAGACAAAGGTTACCTTCCCCCAAACTGTAGCGGATTCGTATATCCCATGCATACATTGTTTCCTTGTTCTCAAATCCTAGCATCACGACTTGAGAAAGACAGATGATTGCAAGGGTGTGATTCAAGCCCTCATAGGAGAGCCCAGGATCCAAGCCACAGATGTCTTCTAAGGTCACGCTGCTTCTCTCCTTGTGCCCTTTCGCTCGTTCAGATTTATCCTTGTACACCAGCATGAGCAAACAGTCTAAAAGAAGCAAAACTGTCAGAGATGATGAGGCAGAACAGAACACAACACGTTTGTACCAAAGCAAAGAATTAAGAAAAGTGCTTCAGACTACTGCAGGGTCAGTCTGATCAAGCCAATACTAGAAAGCAGCCTCCTTCCCCCACTCAAGTAGGGGGAAGGAGGTAGGCTGCAGTCCGTGTTCAGAAAGCAGACATGTTTCAACAGTCATCTGTGGGATCAGAAATATGAAGGCAAGAAAAAAGTCTTCCCAATTACTTTGCAAAAACACAGTGATTTTTGGTATTGTCTCCCTAGTTTAGAAGGAACTGACTCATTAATTTTGAGCATTAGAAGCTGGAGTACGATAACTACCCACATTACAAGTCTAAGGACCTTAGAGGCTATTGTCATCTTTATTTCCATGAGAACATGCTGAACCACAAACGAAATTCTTACAGTAGTTCACAGATTACTCAACTACTAAATGGTGAGCAGACTGCCTGCACTGCCAGACATTGTGTCAGCTCAGGTTTCCTAGTGAAATGTTACACAGTAGCCATGCTCAATAATCATTATGTGCCACACCTCTATTTATTATTATTATTTTTAAACATGTCACCTTTTGTTTTTAGCCCCTTCCTGGGCATGTTTACTATAAAGTAAATAAGCAATGAAAGAATGTAACTCAAGCATCGCAGCGCTCTAGGAAAAGCATGTTTCAAACAAAAAACAAAGGGAGCATCCCTTTTCCATCTTTTGCATGTAATAACAAGAGCATTCATTTTCACCCACATTCCCTTCCTATTGCACAGCACTGGGTTGTAACCTGAATTAATGGTGCATAGCAAAGCTGCAACATCCGCAGCTGCAGCTGACCTGCGTGCCACCAGGAGGAAGCCCCTGTGCACTATGTCATGAATGTTGGGGTGTGGTGCTTCAGCCCTGGCAAGGTGCCCCGCAGCACTCAGCTGGGCAACAGCCCGGCAAAGCTCCAAAAAGGTGAAAAATGACTGAAAGACTCAATGCCTGCTAGCCAGTGCTCTACATGCCCTCCCAATTGTTTTCTTGCACCTGTTCGCAAAAACAGCTGCCACTATGACACTTTCTGCATTCTGCTGTGCAGTTGTGTATCTGAAGAAAGAACTGCTATGGCATACAGACCAAGTGAAGCAAATCTTGGGGGAGGGGAGTTTCTGGTAGATCTGACTAATTTTGACAGAATGAAAACAGCATTTTTGAGGAATAACATCATCAGTAGGTTTTCTTTTAGAACTTCCCTATCTTTCCCCTTTAATTTGGTTACAAATCCAGGCCAGTATTGGCATGTCTAGATGACAACTTTTACAATCTGGAGTTGCCTATTCGTGGAGAAAAGTTTAACAAATGCAGTAATTAAAATACCAACATTTAACTGTAACAACTGAGTACCAAAGAATTGGTCTAAAGAACAAGAAACATTTGCTCCCTCATCTAGAAAGGGCTCGGTAATGGGTTCAGAAGCACTGCAGATCCATGTTTGGACAATAAGCAACAATTTGCCCTGGAAATAAATACTTCTGGGGCCAAATGGTTTTCCCATCCAAAAAAAAAAGAAGAAAAAAAAAAAAAGGGAAACATGAAGCCTACTTCTCCCTCTCCAACGTTAAAACATCAACTCTTCATAACATTTTCTGTTCTCCCTTGCAAACCGTGGAACTGAAGTTTTTAATTCAAGATGACATCTTATTTTTAAATTGAAATGCTTTATGTCAAAACACAGAACAAAAATAACTACAGAGCTCACAATGGCAGCCTTTCACAGCCACCAATCACCCTGAAGAAGTAATTTCTAAAGCAAGCCTTTTAAACGGGAACTAAACTCTCGTGTTCGTTACGGGTCTCCTTTGATATCCTCTTTCTATTTCTGGCCGCCTGGCTCTCCGCCAGCTGAGCTCAGAAAGAAAATAAATATATATGTATATATGTATTTATTATTATTTATTTTAAAGAAGGAAAGAGCAACGACGGCTCGTGGAAACCTGCAGACGAAGGGTCTCCCCCTGCAGCTGCGCACCCGACGGGGCGCCCCGTAAAGAGCTTTTCTCCCTTTCCCCGTGCCCCGCACCCTCCGGCGGGCGGAGGAGAGGCCCCGCGGCCGCCGGTCTTCCTCCCTTCCCCCGCTCCCCTCGCTCCCAGGCACGGGGTCCCCTCCGCCCCGCTCCGTTCTTACCTGCGACAGGGGAGGGCTTGCGCAGCACCAGCCACCTACTCTTCCACTGCAACGAGAGGCAAAAGGACAGGGTTAGCCAGGGCCGGGCAGACAGGGCTCTATTCCCCTCGCGAGGAGGGGGCGTCGGTCGGAGACCCCCGGCCCGTGCCTGCCGCGTGGCCGAACCGAAAGGGCACAGGCTAGCTCGGACCTTTTTTCCATCTCTCAACTTGACGTGACCCTCCACCACCACGGAATCCGTCATCTTCAGTCATGATTCCGGACAGCTGCGCCCGGCTCGCTGCTCCCTCCCCGCGCTCTGGCCGAGGGGTCACTTTCAAAATAGCTTTAGTAGGTCCCCGCTGAGGCACAGCGAGTGCGGCGGGCGAGCGGCCAGCGCTGCCCAGCGCTGCCCGGCCCTCCCCGGCGCCCCCCGCCCCGCCGTGCAGGGGCCGGGCCGGCTCTGGCTGAGGGGTTCTTGGAAAGCCCCCCGCTGTTTCTGCAGTAGTGTATTTTATTGCTATGTAGAGTTTGTGCTTGCTTTTATTTTATCGCTTCTTCAGGGTTTAAGTACAGGCAGGTGCGAAGCGGAGCACCCACAGCCCGACGAGGGCCGCCTCCACCGATCTGCTCCGGCCGCGACCCCGGGAGGCGCCGAGCTTTGCGGGCAGCCCGGCTCCTCCAGCGCCCGGGGCCGGAGCGAAAGCCCGGAGCGGATCGTCGCTGCCCGGCGGCCGCGCAATGGTCTGACCTGGAAGCGTCTTAAAGCCCATCCGCCCCCATCCCCTGCCGTGGGCTGGGTGCCCCCCACCAGCTCAGGATGCCGAGAGTCCACCCAACCCGACCTCGAGCACCCCCAGGAATCGGCTGCCCACAGCTCTCTGGGCAGCCTGAGCCGTGCCCCGCTGCCCTCTGAATGAAGAATTTCTTCCTAAATTTCCCATCTTTAGTTTAAAGTCACCCTCTCTTGTCCTGTTGCTGTCAGATCATGTAAAAACTCCGTTTCCCTCCTGTTTATGAACTCCCTTCAAGTACTGGAAGACCACAGCAAGGTCTCCCTGGATCCTTGCCTTTTCCACTCCTCTTTCAAAGTGTGATTACCCCTTCCCTTGGCTCTCAGTCATACCCCACCTCTAAGAAAAACACTTTTTTTTTTTTCTTTTGCAATGCAACTGCCATGAGATAACAGCCCACTTACCCCTAACCGAAGCTGCTACAATTAATAGAATAAGATGTGTTAATTATGTCTTTAAATTCATTTCAATGAGAAATGGACTAATTAGAGTCCATTATTCTAAAAATACTCCTATTGCGTCTTATTTGATGCTAATTAGTCCTTCAGATTTTTTTTTTTTCCAACAGCAGCACAGCACATTTTTCTTTCAATAGCACAATAGAAGGGTTTTTTTAGATGTTTGCTTTTATTTCTTCTCTTTGAATCGGTCAGTTTGCATGGAATAACCTGTAATTTAATAAAACCATCCTTAAGTGTGTGTCGTAATGAATCGGGGATGTCATTGTTCAACTGGTTTTGCATTCTAATCCTATTTCAAGTTAAATGCTAGGGAAAAACATCAAGGAAACTTTCCTGGTAAATTTTAACACTATTTCATTTTAACATAGGCGATGAGCATTTAAATAGAGCCGGGCAGAATAGGGGAAACATTTCCACTGGGAAATGCTCAAGAGAAAGACTGGAAAGGTGCTGGAGTGGCCATATGGATGTGACCAGCCTTCTCAGAGGTGTGAGAGTGAAGGCATAAATCTTTTTAATAACCCTGGGTGTTTGCTTGCCATCCCAGTCTAGGACTGTGAATTTAATGTAGTGCTAGTCAACACAGCAGAGCACCAGATCATAACATCACCATCAAATCAGTGCAATGCCAAAAAAAAAAAAAAAAAAAAAAAAGAAAGAAAGAAAGGAAGAAAGAAACAAGCCACTTTGAAAGCCACAGATTCAGTGTAGTGAATTCACGTACGACAATTCAATGAAGATTTATCATTTAAGCTAGTAAGTGCAGGAAATAGAAGTGCAAGTGAAACAGTCTCTGTGCTTTTAAGAATTATAAGTTAGTGATTACACTAGCTTTGCTACATCTAGAAGCAGCATGCATTTTGAAAACAAGAGAGTTAAAAATCTCTTCACAAATTGTTTGAAACACCATTCTATCACCTTTCTTACTGAGCAGCCACCATCTTTATAGCAAGAGGAGATAGAGAATACATACAACACAAAACTACCATATTAAAAGCTTGAGTAGTGTGGATGGATATCAATTTAAAAGTGAAAACAAAAAGTCACAGAAGAGGCATAGATGTTCAAAACAGCATGAGCTTTGCGTTGGAATCTGTTCCAAATGAATCACTTCCAAAGAAAAGTAAATAGTTCCTTCAAGCTGATTTAGTACTTGTCCTTCATCAGTAGATACAGTTAGTCTTGTTAAACAGTCACATTCATTTCACAACGTTAAGCAAGCCAGACTCGTACTGCAAATGGCCAGAAAGGCAAACTCAGACAATAATAGTCTTCAGACAGTTTTGGAATCAGGAACTTGGGACTTTCTTCTTAGTGTTCACAGTATTTACAACTGAAAATCTTATCCAAACTTTGTGACTCTTTTTTTTCTCCACTCATACACATGTCTATGGGAAATTTTGCATGACACTTGTATGAAACTGGGAGCACCACCAGCTTTAAGTGATTCTTCTGCAGGGCATTTGAGGTACTTCTTGGCACAGAGAAGCATTGTTTCTTTTTCTACCAGCTCTCAACTTATAAAAAACCTGTACAAGCATTCAAAGGTATAGTTGTAACTATATACACAACACAGTAAGAGACAGAGGGTAAATGTTTTTATTTACTATAGAATCACAGAATTGCAGTTTATATCATTTTTCTAGATGAGCTCTCCAACCCTCTGATCATCTCAGTGCCCTCCTCTGGACCTACTGCAAGAGCTCCACGTTCTTCCTGTACTGGGGGCCCCAGGCCAGGACGCAGTACTCCAGATGGGGCCTCACAAGAGCTGAGTAGACAGGGACAATCACCTCCCTCTCCCTGCTGGCCACCCCTTTTTCAATGCAGCCCAGAACACAGCTGGCCTTCCAGGCTGGAAGCGCACACTGCTGGCTCACGTCCAGCTTCTCATCCACCAGGACCCCAAGTCCTTCTCTGCAGGGCTGCTCTCAACAGGTTCTTCTCCCAGTCTGTATAAACACCTGGGATTGCTCCGACCCAAGTCAGCACCCTGCACTTGGCCTTACTGAACCTCATTATTTTCACGTGGGCCCACTTCTCCAGCCTGTCCAGGTCCCTCTGGATGGCTTTCCTTCCCTCCAATGTATCGACTGCACCGCTCAACTTGGTGTCACCCGCAAACTTGCTGAGGGTGCACTTGATGCCATCGTCTGTGTCGTTGATGAAGATGTTGAAGAGCACCAGTCCCAAGACTGGCCCCTGAAGGACACCGCTTGTGAGCGGCCTCCACCCAGACACAGAACCATTGATCACAACCCTTTGGCTGCAACCAGCCAGCCAGTTCTTAATCGACCAAACAGTCCATCCTTCAAATCCACACCCATCCAATTTAGAGAGAAGGATGTGGTGAAGGACCATGTCATTCACCAGGACTAAGAAATCCATGAGGACACTGGCAGCATTATAAAACAAAACCCTCCTTTTTCTGTATTATCTGAACAGTTAAATAACTTGTTATTACAAAATCTAAGACATCTTCAAAACACTGCCAAATTTAAGAAAGGCTTGGACATTTTCTATCCAAGGTAAAACATTTGCACTGCTATTCTGTGAGAACAAGCAGAGGGTCTGCAACAAGCCCCACTGTGTTGAACAATATTATCTACCAACTTAAACCTTTTCTCAGCAATAAGCTTTGTGCTTTCAGGAGGTGTTGCGTTAGCTTTCGGAAAATTGCACACCAAATTCAGCAGAGCTCTGAAGCACATTTCTATTTTTATTGCAACATAAAAATATGCTTACATGTTTTGAATCAAACCCTAAATCCTCTGTTTTCTTCCCAGAAATAGTTTACTGTCGTTAGCTGGGGAGTCTATCTGCTGAACTTTCATGAAATTAGTTCTGAAGGACAGATAATTCTATTTTTGGCGTTCATCCTTTTTATTTTGTTAACATCTGAAAATACAAGGCCAACATTGTTACAGGTTGTTTTAGGGGGTGACAACTCCACCAGAAACTTTTAAATACTTATTTTCATGTAATCCACCGAAAGATAAACAGTTTTAGATGTCAGTACACTTAGTTTTGACATGTTAGCTTTATTAAGACAAATAAAGACAGTCTCACATGTTGAGCTATCCACAGCCCTAAAACTGCAGCTCAGAGTTACTGATATCAGAGGGATGAGGACTATTTTTAGTGATCTGGTTTGGAATTTCTAAGAATTACCACAATAATTTTCATACTAGCTTATAATAAAATATTTATGCCACTTTAATGAAACCAAAAGGCTCCTGGACCCTATTTGAAATGATATCATAGTTAAATGTTCAACTAGCTTTTCGAGGGGCTATCCTCTCATTAATCCAATTTACATAGTTTGTTACTCTTGTATATACTCCAGGCTTGTTGATTCTGGCACAGCCATCTCCCCAGCTGATGACTCCATAAAGGTAAGAGATTTCATTATTCTCACATGCCAGAGGTCCACCAGAATCTCCCTGTGTTAAAAGTGAGGAAAGATTATTTAACTTAATAGAAAATCATTGGAAAAACAGTTTAAATGTAAGTAGAAAGAGATTTTTTCCTGTTTTAAAGAGAAAATTATTTTCAGAGCAAAGTTGGAAGGAATTTTTTACCAATTTTTTCCGCAATTACGTGGAACTGTGTTGCCTTTATAAGATCTCAGTGATAAACGAAGTCCTGCACCTGAAATTAATTTACTTTGTCAGAACTTTCTTATGTCTGCACATCTCATCTCAGTGACTGTAACTTCAGTATCAATGCACAGCTGTTTCTCAGTCTATGCAGCTCTCTTCAAACCATTTGTCTTTGTTTTTTTTCCTTCTCCACTTTCTTCTTTCTCTTTGAATGTGTTTATGATCTCTATAGCAGTTCTAGCATATAGTATACATTATATTCTTTGCTTCACAGTGTCATTGCCAAGTATCAGCTACGTGCTGCCTGTTGCCAAAAATTATTCTAATAGAGCATAACCCCATCAAAATGAAGATAAAATCTGAAGGTTTATCTAAGAAATAACCTGAACCTTAGTTTCACACACATCTCATCTGTCACCACAGCAACTCCATCCCCTTTATTCAAGGGCCAGGGTGTGACATAACTCAAAAAGAGACAAAATATAGTAAGAATTTGAAGCTCTTCCATTAAGAATGGAAGTCATGAAACTTTTT